TGTGGATATGTTACAGATTTCATTCTGGTCATCATTTGTTTATTTATTTATTTAGTGGTACCAGGGATTGAACCACAGGCCTCCTGCTTGCTTCATATGAATTTTTTGGCATTGACTAAACTCCATCTCTAAGTCGCAGATAATTTTTGGTCCTTTCTTAAGAAAATTGAGGCTGGCTGGGTGTGGTAGTGCACACAGCAACTCAGGAGGCTGAGGCAGGAGGATCACAAGTTTGAAGCCAGCCTCAGAAATGGGAGGAATAGAAGTTCATTGGCTCAGATAGAGGGAAATGAAGGGAAGGAAAGGGAGATGGAAATAGGAAAGACAGTAGAATGAAACAGACATAACTTTCCTATTTCATATGTGAATATACCACCAGTGTAACTCCACATCATGTTCAACCACAAGAATGGGACCCTAATTAGAGTAAGTTATACTCCATGTGTGTATAATATGTCAAAGTACACTCTATTGTCATGTTTATCTAAAAAGAACAACAACAACAACAAAATGTAGTGAGATCCTGTCTCAAAAAAAAAAAAAAAAAAGCTGTGGATGTATCTCAGTGATAGAGTGCTCCTGGGTTCAATCCTCATTACTTTCCCAAAGGCCGGGGGGAATGTTAGGTTAGGAGTAAGCACATTTTTCTGAAAAAAAAAAAAATGTGTATACACCCATACACACACTCTAAAATACTGGCAATTGAACCCAGGAGCACTCTACATCTAAGCTAGATCCCCAACCCTTTTTATTTTGAGACAGGATCACTCAGTGGCCAAGGCTGTTCTTGAACCGGTGATCCTCCTGCCTCAGCCTCCTGAATAACTGGCATTACAGGCGTGTACCACCACACCCAGCTGGAAAAATTTTTTTGTTGTTGGATCTTTTAATTTTTTTTTCTTGTTTTCTTTGAACGAAAATTTAACAAGTATTTGCTGAGCACTGACCAGATAGGTTAGGTGCAGTGGTAGCAGTGGTAGCAGTGGTAGCAGTGTGGAGATCTAACTGTAACCAGACAGACATGTCCCCTTCCCTCAGGCAGCCTGACTTTGCTGGTGAACACACATATTGATTACAGCACGACGATGACGACTGTTAGAAAAGGGAAAGAGCACGGTGCAGAGGAGCCTCTATTGGAGGGAGAGAGACCTTAGGAGGCTGTCGTGGTCGTGTACACAGAAGTCAAGGCTTGAAGAAGGACAAAACCTCTTCAGTGGGCTTTAGGGAAAGGAGGGATTGAAACTGGCAGTTCACTGGGTCCCTGGAAGGCAAAGAGAAGGAACAGTCGAGGACACTTATTTCATTGAATGTGTAGGTGCGATCGGGAGAACCTTCCTCAATATTTCATTGACTCCTCACAATGACCCTGAGAGGCAAGTGCCATTATGATCCCAAGGCAGAGCCAGCAGTCAGAAACCATCCCTTCTAGAGGTGCCATCTGAGGGCTCATCTCCGGGCCCTGTAGGGGACCCAAGGAGGGTGAGTGGAGTCCATAGCATGGTTGGAGAACAAGACAAACTCATGAGACAATTTGGGAACAATTCAGTCAGCACTGGCTAGGTCATGTCATTGCCCAATAGGACCATTCAGGAGAAGGGTACCAAGAGGCAGAGCAGTTAGAGGGCAGAAGGATAAGCAAGCCTAGTTTGAATCCAGGTTCTCCTGCCTGCTGCTGTGGGACATGGGCAAATCATTTAACCTCTCTGAATCTGATTCTCATTTCTAAAAAAAAAAAAAAAAAAGGAGGGGATTATTGTGGCATTGAAATAGGATTAGATGAGGGCTGGGGTTGTGGCTCAGCAGTAGAGCACTTGCCTAGCATGTGAGAGGCCTACGTTTGATCCTCAGCACCACATAAAAAAATAAATAAGTGAAATAAAGGTATTTTGTTCAACTAGTACTAAAAATTAAATATTTAAAAAAAAGAAAGAATGTGTAAACTAGGCACAGTGGTACAAACCTGTAATTCCAGTGATTTGGGAAGCTGAGGCAGGAGGATCCCAAGTTTGAGGACAGCCTCAGTAATTTATTGAGCCCCTTTTTCAAAATAAAAATAAAAAGGCCTGGGGACATAGCTCAGTGATGATAGAGTGCCCTTGGGTTCAATTCCCAGTACCCCCCCCACACACACACATACACACACAGTGATTAAAAGAACTGCCTATATTTCTTTTCTTTTTTAAGAATATTTTTAGTATAGGTGAACCCAATACCTTTATTTTATTTATTTATTTTTATATGGTGGTGAGAATCGAACGCAGTGTCTCACATGTGCAAGGCAAGTGCTCTAACCACTGAGCCCCAGCCCCAGCCCAATGTATTTCTTTATTTAATCTATTTTTTTAGTTGTAATTGGACACAATATCTTTAATTTATATATTTTTATGTAGTGCTGAGGACCAAAGCCAGGGCCTCACCCATGCCAGGCGAGGTCTCTACCTCTGAGCCACAACCCAGTCCCAGAGCTGCCTATATTTCCAATAGCCCTTAACTCTTCTCCCCTGCAACAATTTTTAAGACATGACACTCTCCCATGGTAATACCTTGATTTCGATCAAAAACAAAACAAACAAATCCCACTAAAGTTATATAATGAAGAAAAACAAGGCTGGAGTAAGGCCCTGGGTTTGATCCTCAGCCCTGCAAAAAAAAAAAAAAAAAAGAATCTGGGCTGGGGATGTGGCTCAGGCGGTGGAGCGCTCTCCTGGCATGCGGGTGGCGCTGGGTTCGACCCTCAGCACCACAYAAAATAAAGATGTTGTGTCCGCTGAAAACGTTAAAAATATACATATTTTTAAAAAAACTCTCTCTCTCAAAAAAAAAAAAAAAAGGAATCTGGTCATCTCTAACTAGGGGCCGTGTAATCCCAGTTACTCAAGAGGCTGAGACAGGAAGATCATAAATTAGAGCCCAGACCCGGCAATTTAGCAAGATTCTGTCCCAAAATAAAATTTAAAACAAGCAGTGTGTGTGTGTGGTGGGGGGGTGGTTCTGGGATGGTGGCTCACAGGTGGAGCGCTCCTGAGTTCCATCTCTAGTACAGAAAAGGAGGCAGGAAGGCAGGAAGGAAGGGAAGGAGGGAGGGAGGGAGGGAGAGAAGGAAGCAACTAGGACCCCTAATCACCCCAGCTGAGGACCCGCTCAGTGTCACCGTAGCCACGACTCCACTTTCTCGCCCTCTCGGGAAAGCAGGTGAAGGAGAGTGACGTGACTCCAGAGAGAGAGAGAAGGGCTTGAACCTTTAAGGGAGACCTTTGGATCCTGTGCTGAAAATAAGACGACCTGGGGGGGGGCGGTTCCCGGGAGGGTGACGTGGTCACAGTGTTTTAGGAGCCTGAGGAGGAGACGGACAGACAGACAGAAGGAGGGCGGGGGAGCGGTCTTAGAGTTGGCGGCACCCAGCTGGACTGCCGGGGAGGGGACTCCTGGAGAGAGACGCGGTCCTCTACCGGCTGAAGGGGCAGGCAGGGGACATTTAGAAAGGAAAACTGGTAGGACTTGGTGACGGACGAGTTGGGGAGGAGGGAGCAAAGGAGAAGCTGGAGTCAAAGATGGTGCCCAGGTTCCTGGCTGCTGTGCCTGGAAGAAGGAGTAAGTCCTGAAGGTGCTCCCGCCTGGGCCGGGGCGTGCGAGGCGCTGGGGCAGCGGGGGGAGCGGCCAGCGGGCGGAGGGCGGCTCGGGGGGTCAGCAGCCCTGCAGGAGCCAGGGAGAAACCAAAGAGGAAGCGCAGAACCCTGGGCACGCCCACAGGAAGGCGAGGTGGCACGGCGACCCCGTCTAACTGGGACCTGAGAGTCTGGAAGGATTACTTCCTTTTGCCCTGAAGTCCCCSTCCGCACCCTGCCAGGCATCCTGTGGCATCCTGCTCAAGGAGAACGAGTCAGGGGAGTGGACGGAGGAGGTGGGCTGCAGTCTTCATGGGGTCTCTTCAGGCTGCCTGGTCCCCTCACTGAAGGTCTTGGCTCCTGCCACAGGCCCTGCCCACACACTTCTTCTGTAAGTGCAAATGAAGGAGAGGAAAGCAGACCTCAGAGTCTGTCAGATTGTCAGGCAATGGAGGGGCTCACTTTCTGGTTAGAAAATGGCCACGGTTGCAGGAGGGGTCTGGGTGTTTATAGGTTACAGAGAGGTGACTTAATCATTGGAGACTTCAACAGAACGTGTCAGTTTGAGCAATCAGGAAAGAGGTTGTAAGCATTTGAAACTTGTTTTTACTGGGAAAGGATGGAGGGTCTCAGTGCTCATCTCTTCCCTCTGGAGATCATTGTATTCTAAAGGATCAATGTTTATCCAGGGACTGTCATTTTAGGATTGACATGTGCTTCCTTCCCAGGGATTGTCTTGTCACTGGGAAAGGATTTACTGGGAAGGATCAATGTTTTGCCTTCTTCCTCCCTCCCTCCTCCTGGRTCACACTGTATTGGGGTTATCATTTTCCATATCCTTCACCTTCCAAATTTCTAAAGCTGCTCCCTCCTGTCACTTCTATGGGTTTAGTGAACGTCAGGGCCCCAGGGTTCCTAGCCTCTGTGTACTCTGTCCCTCATCTTTTCTCCTCTGCCTGTACCTTGGTGAATGGCCCCTATGGTAGCTCTGTAGATCATCCAGACAATGCCATCTTTTCCCTCCTGGGAGACTGACAGTGCATGACAGGCTGCAGTTATCCTGTGACTGAGAGKTACAGAATCGAGAGCAATGAGCACAGAGCGGGAGACCTTGAGGACCTGGCAGGTGCAGAGTGCTTCTCTGTACAGGCCCTTCCCACACCTTATTTTATCCTTCTCCAAAGAAACCTGTGGGTCAGTTTCATCTTCTGAGAAGCAGAGACCAAGATGGGGTTAGATGTGCACAAAATAGGTCAGGAAACCCCAAGAAAGGAGGAGTGTGCAGGGGGAGAGCTTCACACTACAGAGCAGCCAGGAGACGGGGAAGAAGGGCTTGGGTAGGGAGAGCTGTAGCTCGAGGATCTCAGGCAGGCTTGTCCTTTGAAGGGGTGCCATTCTCACAAAAATGGGCCACCATGCTTAGGCATTGGCTGGGAGAGCTTGGGGAACAGATGCCCACAGGGCAGCTCCTGGGGCTGCCAATTGGCCACAATCCCTACATCCCTAACTAGGTTATCTTCAAGGCACTCTGAGCAGTGCATCTTGGTGGCTGCCACAGCCTGTGAGGTCATCCCTGATTCATAGCTAGGCAGTTGACAGTGGCACCTGCTTGGAGCCATGCTTCTCCGGAATGGGTCAGCTGTTAGGACTCACACTCACTTCCTCTCCTCTAGGTACCGGAAGCTTGCCCTTAAGAACCACCCTTTGAAATCAAGTGACCCTGYGGCTAAAGAGACCTTTAAGCAAATAGCAGAGGCCTATGATGTGCTGAGTGACCGTGAGTGACCATGAGGCTGCTCCAGGAGATTTCTGTCATCCCCTCCTTTAAGATCGTCCCTTAAGTCTCTATAGACTATTGAGTTTTCTGAGGGGGTCCTAGAGAATAAGTATCTGTCCTCCCTGCCCAGTATCTAAACAAACTGAGAATATAAAGAATTGCCTGTCTCAGTGGACACAAGCTAAGGTGAGAGATGGGTGTGCAGGGTCACCAGGGCAGGGCAGGAGCAGGGGCACATTCCCCACACCCCACGCCTGGAAGATGGAGCCTTCCCCCAGGAGGGGAGTGGAAGGAAATGCTGGCTGCCAAGGGGAAGAAGGCCAAGCCTGAGCAGGGTGCCACTTCCCCTTCCCAGACTGGCTGAGGAGCGAGTCTCTGTCACCTCAAGGACAGCAGGAGCATGAAGGGGCAGAGAGAGGCCAGGAGTCTTCCTTCAGAAGTCTCTGTCCTAGGGAAGCCAGAAGCGTGGGGCAAGTGTGATTCATAGCCCCAGCACAGGGCAGTGCTCTGTGGCTTCCCTGGGGGATTGTCCTGGAGACTCTGCRTATGCAGGCTGCACAGGAGGGCTAGGAGGCCACCAGGGTTTCTCCAGGGCTGGGTTTTCAGGACGTTGATAGCCTCGAAAGCTAGCATCTGGAGGCTTTAGAATTCTCAGATTCAAAAATTTCAGGATTCTAGGATTCTAATGACTCCCAGGAAGACAGTAGCTGTGAGGACTGAGTTAGGCCGACCCCAGGTCTGTAGCCTGACCCAATCCCTATCCCACCCCCCGGAAATCTATTTTTTTCATCTCTCTTCTGGGCTGTCGGGATCCCTAGGCCCACTCAAGAATGAAAGTCACCTCCAACTTCTAGGATCTCATTCCAGAGACTCTGGGATGAGCCACAAGCCCCTTGGAAAAGGTTGTTTTGTCCCATCTCCTTCCCCAGTCCTCCTTCCCTCTCTCCCCTCTAAGCTCTTARCCCCCAAGGCTGTACCCCTCCTCAAGGTCCTCCTGCCCACAGCTGTGAAGAGAGCCATCTATGACAAGTTCGGAGAAGAAGGCCTGAAGGGCGGGATTCCCCTGGAGTTTGGATCCCAGGCCCCGTGGACAGCTGGCTACGTCTTCCACGGCAACCCTGCTAAGGTGTTCCATGAGTTCTTCGGGGGAGACAACCCCTTCAGTGGTAAGAGATACTCCCCGTCTCCTTGCCTCGCTGGGAAAGGACACGGCTAAAAAAGATGCTTTTCTCTAAGTAGTTTTTTGTTTTTCACCTTAAGAAATACATATAGAGTATGTTTTTTTAAAAAAATGGTAAAAGAGAATTTATTGAAAAAGAAATAAATTCCAGACCTACATTTCCTTTCCAGAAGCAGTCTTCTGGAAGTTTTCATTTTTATGTTAGCCCTTTATTTTCTTAAGGAATCAGACTACATTATACACACATTTTTAAAACTTAAGATATCTTGGAGATTATACAACAATACATTGTGCTACTTGTAGATCTATTATTTTTTTTTTTTTCCTCCCTTGTAGCACTGGGTATTGAACCCAAGGCAGTAAACACATTAGGCTAATGCTATATCCCCAGCCTCTTTTTAAAATTTTTATTTTATTTTATTTTAAATATTTATTTATTAGTTGTACCTAGACCAATACCTTTATTTATTTATTTTTATATGGTGCCCAGGATCAAGCCCAGGGCCTCGCATGTGCCAGGCAAGCGCTCTACCACTGAGCCACAACCCCAGCCCTAAAATTTTTATTTTGAGACAGGGTTTTGCTGAGTTACCCAGGCTGGCCTGAAATTTGCAATCCTCCTTCCTCAATCTCCTGACTAGCTGGGATTATAGATATGGACCACCATGCCTGTCTACTTTACTCCTTTTAATGACCACATAAGACTCTATTGTACAGATGTGTATTAGTCAGAAATCGGTTTCAGGCTTATGCACACCTGTAATCCCAGCAGCTCTGGTGGCTGAGGCAGGTGGATTGCTAGTTCAAAGTCAGCCTCAGCAACTTAGTGAGGTCCTAAGCAACTTAGGCAGACCCTGTATCAATATAAGAAATAAAAACAAAAGGGTTGGGGATGARGCTCAGTGGTAAAGCACCTCTGGGTTCAATCCCTGGTGCCCCCCCAAAAAAAGGAGCAAAGAGAGTTTGCAGGGCCAGTGCTTATTGTAAGGGAAAGTTGGCATCTGGGTTTGGGGCTTCCTTAGGCAGTGTGACCAGGGACTATACTGCCACAGAGCTCCACTCCAGGGTTCTTGTGTCTGTTCTCCCTGTAGAGTTGAGGGGCTGGGTTTGCTGTGGCCTTGCTCTTGGGATATCTACTACCTGCTACAAAGTAGGTATTGGGTAAACAAACAAATTTAGTATTGCAAGAGGGAACTAGGTAGTTCACAGGCCTCTTTTTTTTTTTTAAGAAGTATTTATTTATATGTGGTGCTGAGGATCAAACCCAGTGCCTCACCCATGCTAGGCAAGCTCTCTACTGCTAAACTACAACCCCAACCCCTAGTTCACAGGCCTCTTGATGAACCATCACATCTTACAGGGACACTGTGTGAAGCCACTGCACCCACTGCCTAAGGTCACTGCATCATTTTAACTTGTGAAGTTCATTCCATGGCATTAACCACGAGAGACAGGCTGCTTCACAGTGACTCRTGTCTATAGTTGATGAAGGGCTTTCACATCAACAATATAGCGTAGGGGTTAGAATTTTTTTCCTGTAGTCAACTTGTCCTGTGGCGTGGGTCAACTTCTCCTGGTTGTGGGAGTGTGAGAATTTTTTGTGGCCTTTCCAGCCCAGTGAAATAAAATTGAAGGGCTGGAGGCATAACTAGGTGGTAGAGCACTTGCCTGGTGTGCATAGGGCTGTGGGTTTGATCCCCAGCAATGCAAAAATAATAAATAATAAGCAAATAAATAAGCCAGATAAAAATGAAAAATGCTGAACACAGTGCCCGATGCAGGGTAAGCTCTCAGCAAGTTTCAGGTCTTTATCGTCTTAATGGTGGAAAGCAGATCAAGCATTATTACCCCATCCCGCAGACAGAACTGAAGGTTTGCACAGCACCTCAGGGGCTGGGCTGGGCTGGGCTGGGGCTCCCCCTCTGCACTCAGATGGAAGAGCACAGGCAGGGAGCATCAGGGGAGGCTAAGGCTGTAGAGCTGGGCAGTGAAGCTGAAGAAATAGGACTTTGGGGTATGCTGGTGGCCTCTCAGATTTGCCAGGGACTAGCATTTTCCTCCTTAATATCAGCTGATAACTTCATAGAAACTTGAGTCTGGGATCTCTAATGGTCTTGGGCTGGACAACAAGGGGAAGTAGAACCTGGGGAGGAGCAGGGAGGACTCAGCTCTGACCCTCTGGAAAAACACGAGTCTTTTCTGGCACTACCAGAATATGCCACTAGAGGGGGTGCCTCACATCGTGAGACAGCCTGAGTTGGTAACTCCGCAAGTYTTAGGGAGGTAGGTGGGGTGGCGGGCACTCCAAAGTGGGAGTGGGGCCATTCTTGGGTTCTGACAAGGAATGATATTCACTGGTCTGCAGTGGAGGACAGAGTCTTGATCTGACCAGTTTGAGAGGTGGGAATGGGGTGCTGGTGTCACACTTGGGTCACTAAGAGATTGGAGGAAATACAGGGGGTGGGGAGTGTGTGTGTGTGTGTGTGTGTGTGTGTGTGTGTGAGAGAGAGAGGGAGAGAGAGAGAGAGAGAGAGAGAGAGAGAGAGAGAGAGAGAGAGAGAGAGAGAGAGAGAGAGAGAGAGAGAGAGAGACAGAGAAATGTGTGTGAAGGTGAGAATCAGAGTCTTTGGACCCAGTTTTTCTTACTCATCTCCCTATATCCTATAGAATTTTTTGATGCAGACGGAAGTGAAGTGGATTTAAATTTTGGGGGGCTCCGAGGCCGAGGGGTCAAGAAGCAGGATCCCCCCATTGAACGGGACCTCTATTTGTCCTTGGAGGACTTATTCTTTGGCTGCACTAAAAAAATTAAGATCTCCCGAAGAGTGAGTACTTGGTTTGCTCCTTCTGGGAGTCACTATCTGTCCCTCTACACCCCACCCCCACCCCCGTCACTTTCTTCCTTATCCTAACTAGAGAACTCAGGAATGGTTTCTGATGGAGTCTTAGATGGAGAGACCTAGGATCTTAGAATTCTAGGATCTGAAATTTGGGACAACTGAGGGGACTAGCCTGTTTCTTTTCCTAGAGCAGAAGTGCCCCCTGCAGCCCTTTACTGGGGTAGGACCCCTTCCTCTCAGTTCAGCCCCTCGCTGTGGGAAGTGGGAGGAGTCTCCTGTGAACCGCACTCTCTGGCATTACCTAAACATGCCCCCAGGATTTCATGAGGGGTGTGCCTCATCCGTAAGAGGGAGTCATGTGGGCATAGAGGGTTGGCTGGGACAGTCCCCAAGGTCACTGGTTAAAGAAGACCCTTGTGAGTCCCAGAGTTCAGTCCTTGGTTTGACTCTGCCCTATGTGCCAGTTTCTGCCAGGTGCCCTCACCTTTGCCCAGCAGAGGACATGCCTTCCACAGATGGCACCCCTGTGGGCAAGTGCCTGGGGATAGATGGACAATATATGGGGAATGCATTGGGTCAGGGTCAAATGTGCTGACTTCCATGTTCTTTTTTCCTTTGGGATTAAGAGAACTGCCAGAGGCTAAGGTTCAGGATGTCTGGGATTTGGAGAGAGGAACTGAGTACATTTTCATTGTGCATTTTTTAGTGGCCAGGGATGGAGTTGTGAGTTTGATCAACTCATGGCTTCTCTGACCCCAGCTCTAGCACTAGGACATGCCCTGCCACCCTAGAGTCACAAGTTTTTAGCTCCAATGGCAATGAATGGGTGTGTGAATGGCTCAGGGCAGGTCCTCCCCACCCTAGGGCTCTGAGCCTGAGTACAAATTCTGCAGAGCATCTTTCATGTGTGCAGAGGGGGCTCATGGGATCTGAGTGCGCCCCCTCCCACCATCTCCCTGCAGGTGCTAAACGAGGATGGGTACTCCTCTACCATCAAGGACAAGATCTTGACGATCGATGTGAAGTGTGGTTGGAGGCAGGGCACACGCATCACCTTTGAGAAGGAAGGGGACCAGGTAAGAGGGAGGGAGGCTGACTAGCATCAGTCACCAGGCTCAAATGGTGAGAAGACGAAGGGGAAAGAGAAAATGATTTTGGTTTGGTAGGGAGTCCTGGTGAGATGACCTCTAATGTCCTTTCCCAGGGACACAGCCTCACAATGCCTTTGTGAGTGGGCAGCTTAGGGGTTATCCCCATTTTACAGAGTGGGAAACTGAGGCCCAGAGAGGGAAGGAACTTATCCAGGGCAAGAGCACAAGAGCTGAACCCAGTCTTACCCTCAGTACTCTGATTTTCTTCAATGCTTTTCTGCCAAATGCCACTGTCTCGGCTTGGCACAAGATCACGAGCCACCACACAGCTTTGTAGGTTCAAACAGCAATTCTTTATTCCCGATCTCACACCAGCCTCCACACACGCTCAGGGGAAATTCTCTATCTCCTGCACAATACACGTCCTAAATACTTTTTCTCCACGAGAACTCAGCGGGAACTCAGGCAGCAGGCACGCCCTACTCCCAGCAGCAATAATCTTCAACCTCCCACTTCCCTAAAACTCCTTTTGTCTTAAACCGGGAACACTCTAAGGAGCGGGATACTTCCTCAAACCTGATCAGCTCTAAACCCGGATCCGCCTTTGTCCTTGAGCAAGGTCACCTTACATGCAATGTCAACAGCGAAATCCATTTAACATGGGGTACGCTGGCAAGGAAATTTTGAAGCGTCATTCCTACTTGACAATGGCCCTCAGCACTTTTCTATATAAAGCCCAAGTATAGGAGCTCCTCAGAACCACTTACTAGTAATAATTTTAAATCAAAGACTTATGTTCATCATAATATAAAATTAAATGTCCTAGGCATGCTGAGTCCTAAAGTGCTGAGAAGAGGCAGAGCAATGCAATATTCAGAGCCAAGAGAGATTAGCTCCTCTGCCTGCACTTCTTGCTCCTTTCTCACCTATAATACATCTTCCAAAAAGGACCCTCCAAGCTGGGCACGGTGGCATGTGCCTGTAACCCCAGCTACTTGGGAGGCTGAGGCAGGAGGATCTCTTGAGCTTGAGGTCAGCCTGGGCAACATAACAAGATCTCACTTCAAAAACAAACAAAAGAAAAAATAGCCTTAAGGGCCCAGCCCCAATGTTCCCCTTCTGGACAGCCTTCCCTGGTCACCCCACATGAGTCAGTACCTCCTAGGAGCCCTTGCCTCTGGCCTCCCTTTATCCTGACCTCAAAATAGCTGAAGACTCACTGTGTGTCTATCTCAACATCCAACTGGGAGCTCCCTGGGTGGAAAGGGCTGGTTTGATTCCTTAGTCCCCTGTGCCCAGGAGAGACCTCAGCAGCTTTTTGGTGACTTGGTGAAACTTGGATGAGGGGTGTCACTTCTGAGTTACTCACAGAACAAAGATGTGCAGGCATGGCCTGACCCAGCTCAGTGTTCCCACTGCCATCTGAGGAAGTCCCTCTCCCCTCCTGCTGAGTGCATCGGTGTTGGGTGTACTCAACTGAGATAGGATTCAGGGAGACTTGTCTGGGTAAGCTTCCAGAGCAGGGTCTCTGTGCACTTCCAGAAATCCTGATCTGATCTCCCCACTGTACAGATGGAAGACATGGAGACAAGTAGAGGCGGGAACTTGGCCAAGTCACACAGGCAATTAGTCCTTGTCACCCCTTGACCTCTCCTGCCCAGGGCCCGAACATCATCCCAGCCGACATCATCTTCATCGTAAAGGAGAAGCTCCACTCTCGCTTCCGCAGGGAGAACGACAACCTCCTCTTTGTGTATCCCATCCCTCTGGGCAAGGTGAGTGGACACCAGCCTGGACTCGGCCCCCTCACCGGGTCACTAAGTCCTGGGAGTTCCACACCCGCCCCCACATGGCTCTCCACTTCCTCTCCCTATTGGTCTCCATTGTGCGGTTCTGGGCAGTGCCGGGTCTGTGCACAGGCCTGCCGTCCCCCTGCCTGCTGTCCCCCTGCCTGCCGTCCCTCTGCCTGCTGTCCCCCTGTCTGCTGTCCCTCTACCTGCTGTCTCCCTGCCTGTTCTCCCCCGGCCTTCCCCCGGCTCTTTCCACATGCTGCCTCTCGGCTCTATTGCTTCTCCTGGGCCCTCTGCCTGAAGTGCCACCTGCCCACTTCATCTACAAAGGCCCTTGTCAACTGCTGCCACTATGTGGAGCCATCCTCCACTCCAGAATGGCAAGGGGCCCCTCCTTGGTGCCCACAGACTCCATGATTTCCATCTCTATCATATCCTTACATTAGATCACTTCGACTGACCTACTGGACTGTGCACTCCTAGAGGGCAGGTCTCGGCCTGGGGCATCATCTGATAGTTCTCAAACAGCCTTTGTCTCCCTAGTGCTAAGCTCAAGGTTTGGCACCAGATAGGCTCATCAAGTGCCTTCTAAGTAGGATGGCCCTGGTGCCCATCCCCACTCCTATCTTTTGGCCCTGACCCCCCCAGGCCCTCACCTGCTGCACTGTGGAGGTGAAGACTCTAGATGACCGTCTACTCAACATCCCCATCAATGACATTGTCCAGTGAGTCCACCTGCCTTGGGCCCTAATAGGCAAGAGAGGGCTGGCCTGGGACTTAGAGGGTAGAGTCAGAAAGTCCGCTCAGTACAGTTGTGCAAGCTGTACCCAGCACAAGGGTCCCTTGCCGAGAGGGTGAGAGAAGACAGAGGACAGCCCACACTCTGGCCAAGCTGTGGGCTGCACTCACCTGGCAAAAGGAACAGCTCTTCTAATGTCCATGAAACCGCGGGAAAGACCAGAGGCCCCGTGTTGGGCAATCGCTGTTGTCTTCAGCCCTTCCAAACTTCTCACTAGAGTTCTGAGAAAGGCCTCTGCCTGGGAGTTCTGCTCAGCAGCCTGGCACCCCCCACCCCTTTCCCTGCACTGACTGTCACCCATGCTTAAAACAAGACTCCTGGGGCCTCCAGCAGAGCCCTAGTGTGAACAGGTCTTCCAGGCAGTGCGCCCTTTGGGATAAGCCAGCCTCCTCTCCCACCCAGTCTTGCTGCTGAGCGCCACCCTGTGGTGGAAACTGGGGTGCTGGCCCATTCCTGTGGCTATGTGAGCCTGGGGTGGGGTGGGCCAGTCAGGGGCTGCTCCAGGGTGCCCCCTCAGCTCCCTTCTTTCTTCCCTCAGTCCCAAGTACTTCAAGAAGGTGCCAGAGGAGGGGATGCCTTTGCCCGAGGACCCCACCAAGAAGGGGGACCTCTTCATCTTCTTTGACATCCAGTTCCCCACCCGCCTCACACCTCAAAAGAAGCAGATGCTGCGTCAGGCACTGCTGACCTGACGCGGGGGGAGGTGGGGGCTGGAGTCGTGGAGGAGAGGGCTCCGGGCCTGACTCCTCCGGCCCCACAAGTGCAGGGCTGAGGAGAGGGAGGAGGGCTGGGAAGCTAAGCTGACATAATAAAGATTTATTATCCTCCATTTTCACCCTGGAGAGTGTTGGGGAGGAGCTTCCTGCTGGCATTTTTATTTTTACTTCTTCTTCTTATTATTTTTTGCAGTGCTGGGGATGGGACCCAGGGCCTCATGCGCCCAGCAAGCACTCTACCACTGAGTCACAGCCCCAGCCCCCTGCTAGGCCTTCTTGCGGATACCAAGAAGCTGGACACTTGGCTTCATAGGCAGGTCCCTGAAGATTCAGGGCCTTGCTGCTCCACCTTGGAAGCACAGGCAGGGCTGTGTGGCCTCTGAGTTCCCAGCTCTGGTGACTTTTCATGACGCACAATCTTTAGAAGGGCTATTTTCTGGAATGTGGTTTGTCACATTATAGAGACAGGAAAACTGAGCCACAGCAATGTTTGTCCCAGCTTACTGGGAGTGACAAAGCTGTCATCAGAACAGTCCCTTCCTGCACTCACCAGCACACAGAGAACACAAGCACTGGGATGGCTTTGGTTTCTCCCTCCCCAGCCTTAATTCTCTTGCCTGTGAAGTGGGTTCTGGGCTCTCTCTAGGCAGGAAACCTGGCTTCTGGCCCCAGCCCTGCCACTGCCTCCCTGCACCAGTTACTGCCCACGTCTTGCGGGAAAGTAGAGCTCATACCCCCTCGTGGGCTTGAGGATTGGGATCATTGATGTGGAAGTGCTTGGTGTACTCAGGCTTGGATTTCAAGGAACATTAAGCATTGCAATGGATTGGCCTGGAGGGGTTCTGACCTCCAGGCCCAACTAGACCCATGTGGCCCACACCTGCCCCACCAAAGCCAGCAACGGTGTACCATGCTCATCTACTGTGCTGGGGGTTAGAGTCCTCTCTCTGGAGTCTGAGTGTGGGCTATAAAAGGTCCAGGGTCATGGAAAGAAGGTGGCCTCTTCTGTGGGGTGGCTTCGGATGTGCTGGAATAGGTCCCATATCATCTACATAACTTGGGATCTCCCTATTCAAAATACCATATTAGCTTAAGTTTCTAAAGTGGGAACTTGGCAACCATTATTTTTAAGAGATAATGCTTGGGCTGGGGATATAGCTCAGTTGGTAAAGTGCTTGCCTTGCATGCACAAGGCCTGGGTTCAATCCCCAGCATCAAAAAAAAAAAAAAAAAAAAAAAAAAAGAGATGCAGTGGCACAGACCTATAATCCTAACACTGGGGAGGCTGAGTCAGAAGAATCACAAGTTTGAGGCCAGCCTCAGTAACTCTGTGAAACCCTGCCTCAAAAAATAAAAAGGGCTAGGGAATATCTTAGTGGTAGAATGCACCTGGATTCAGTCCCTAGTACTGGGGGAGGGGTAGTGAAGACAGGATATCACTATGTTGCCCAAATTCCTAGGCTCAAATAATCCTCCTGACTCAGCCTTCTGAGTAGCTGGTAGCACAGGCATTTGCTACTGTGCTCAGATTCAGCAGCCATTTTTAAACTGCCATGGAGAAGGGAGCAGCAGAAAGATCTTGAGATAAAGACTCCAGGGCCAGGGTTCTAGGAAGCATTTCAGCACAGTAATCTCAGATATGTGGGGAGTCAAAAACACCTGTTAGAACACAAGGTATGTGATCTTGGGCAAATCACTTCACCTCTGTGGGTGAAGGTTACAACCTGCATCTTGCAGGTCATCTGTGAAAACCAGATGGAGTGAAAGACTGCCCTCTGAGGCAGGACCTAGGTGGAGAGGTGTCATAATTGTCTCTCAGTTCTGAGTACAAGACTTGGGTGGGTGAGGGAGGGCAGGGCCTTCTCCAGGACAGCTGCTTCTGACCCTTATGGTGGGCTCTGGACGAAGCCTGGTCTTGGGCCCAGGGATAGACCTCTATGAGATTTCCATTACCACTCTGTGGCCCATGAGTCAGGTAAAGCAGGCTTATCACAGGCCATCTTACAGGCTTTACTGAGGCCTACTGTGTCTTCCAGTGATCCCTGCCACCTCTTCCAGCTGTCATTCCAAGGTCATGCCCGGACCTATACGGAAGTCTGATAGCCTTGTGTTTACCCCAGTGTCTGGGGCACAAGGCTGGTGAGTAAGCAGCTGAGGCAGTTCACCCCCAGCTGGCCTGCTTAGCTCTGTGGACAGACATGCTTAGGGCAGCAAGCTGTCCCTTTCCTCCAGTGCAAAACAGTTAACAGCGCACCTCACGGGATAATGTGAGGGCACACAAGGCAGTGGCCAGATCTCTTTATGTCAACTTCTTGCAGCAGAGCAGCCCCCAGGCTGGGGCCAGGGTTCCAGGAAGCGTTTCCGGACAAGTCCAAGGTACATGGGGAGTGAAACACACTTGTTGGAATCCCAGGTGTGTGACCTTCCTTGGGCAGATCACTTCACCAGGTTCTGCCGGTACCACTCCCTCTAGCAGGCTCACTCTGCTTGCTGCTTAAAGGCACTCAACCCTGTCCCTCCTGCAGGCTATGAGACCTCAGCTCAGTTTGTCAGAAGGTGGGAAATAAGATGAGGAATCCTGGGCCCTCCTTCCCTGTCCAGAAACCAGTCTAACATCCTGGACCTCTTGGCCAAGCAGAGGGGCTTAACCTCTGGCTCTGACCTATAGGCTAATCAGGACAGGAAGTGTCAGCTACTTTAGGTTGGGGAAAGGGCGGTCTCATTCTCTGGGCCTGGCTCCATACTGCAAGCACACTTCCCTAAGGACCTTCAACACTGGTGCCTGGGGGAAGAGTCTAGCAAGGGGAGAGTCTGAGTCCTAGTCCCAGCTCAGCTGCTGACTGTGTGTGTCTATCAACATAATGTGTCTCAGTCCTCAGACACCTGGGTGACTTAATTTTAAAGGCCCAGACCTGTGCTGGGACCTCATTTCCTCACCCTTTGAAACAGAAGTAGTACTGCCTACCTGCTCTCTTGCCTCTGAGGGTAGAGGTTGAAACCTCTGTGCAGCCAAAGCCCTGACTTGTCAACATCTCCTTGGAATCCCCAAACTCAGGCAAGCATAAGCAGGATGTTTGCTCTGCAACCTGAACCCAACCTGTGTCCAGTTCAGAATAGTTCCTCCTCTGGGTGTGACCGGGGAGGGTGGGAGGTAGCCCCACTTGTTCTATCAAGGTCTATGACTTTGGAGAGGTGGGCTTGCCATTTATTTTGGGTACCATGGATTGAACTCCAGGCACTCCTCCCCAGCCCTATTTTGTATTTTATTTAGAGACAGGGTCTCACTGAGTTGCTTAGCACCTTGCTTTTTTCTGAGGCTCGCTTTGAACTCATGATCCTTCTGCTTCAGCCTCCCAAGCCGCTGGGATTACAGGCGTGTGCCACCGTGCCTGGCTGGTTTTGCCGTTTGTAATAAAAAATAAAATAAGCCCACTGCATCTATCATTCCCAAGGTCCTCTAAATCTTCCAGGAAGTACAGGAGATGCAGGGCAGACAGAGTACTCTCACCCTGCAGGACAACAGGCCTGGAGCCAGCTGGGGGCTGGGAAGGTAGGCACTGGGTCACCAGGCTCAGCAAGGGATAGGGAGGCAAGGATTAAGCCACTGCTGTCTCTCTGGGCTGCTCTTCGCTTGCCACCTTAGCCCAGGATTTGGGTCTGGAGAGAAAAATGGGCTAGGGGCCCCCATGGAGGTGGAAGGTGGGTTTCATTCCTTTTTGAAGTCAGGTGGCTCCTCCCCAACCCACCAGGGTCCAGTGGACCAAGACCTCTGGTAAGCGCTATGACAGAGGGAAGAGACACCAAGGTTGAGCTTGCTTTATGGGTGACAGGCTGGCTGGGGGTGAGGACAATGAGTCAGGCTGAATTTCTTAAGGGACTGAAGGCTTGGGATCCTGGCTGGAACCAGGCGTCCTGAGATAAGGTAATAGACGGGGTGGGAAGGTGGGAGCAGGGAGGGAGGCGGAGGGAAGAGAAGCAGAAGGAAGAGGTGGGGGAGGGAAGGAGGAAAGGGAAGCAGGGCAGCTGGAGGAGAAGCCAAAGCCAGGTGGCCAGGTCAGCAGCAGGGGAGGCTTAGAAGGGAGCCTCCCGGGAAGCACAGGCAGTGGTGAGGGCCCTTTTCAGCTGCTCATAGGTGACAAACATTACCACGTTCCAGGAGCCCAAGCGGAGAAAGGAGGGCATGAACCTAGAGGAGAGAAAAAACAGGTCACAGGGGCATCCCTGGCTTCTCCCACTGGCCCTCGCATCCAATCCAAGCTGGTCGCTCTATTCCAAGGAGGACTCAGTGAATTGAGCCCACAGCTATGATTATGAGCAAGATCCCACCCTGTCGTTCCCCCAACCCCCAGTGCTGGCCATTAACCCCAGGACCTCATGCGTGCTAGCCCAGCCCTCTACCACTGAGTAGCACCCCCTGCCCTGAGTCCTCATTTTAATACCTAGACACTTTGTTATAGGTGGTTCCCTCCCACCTGTGATAGGTACAGGTTGCTAGAAGRCCTGGAATTGGGGAGTGGTGCTGGGAGATCAGAGGCTCACCCTTTGTAGAAGGCTCGGGGCCCCTCCTTCTGGAGCATGGTAAGGGCACAGTGCCCAGCGCTGCTGTACTGGCCCAAGGCAGAGTTCATGTATCTCGTCTTGACCACGTCGACAGGGGAGGCGATGACAGTGGTACAGAAGCCCGCCCCAAAGGCGGAGGTGAAGTGGCAAGGGAGGTCATCTGCCAAGGAGCAGTGGGCAAGGACTCAGCACACCTCACCCACCATCCCAGAGGCAAGAGAATTAAGAAAAAACTAAGATGCTCATGGTTGTCAAAAGAGACTCCATTGTGAGAACCTAAAAACTCCTTTTGTCAATCCTGCCTCAATTCCTCAAGGTGCCAAGTAAGATCTTCATCCCCATTAGCTTCCATAGGGTAAGTACAAAATAAAACTCCCTCTACAGGCAAAGGGCAAACAGAACGAAAAGATGTGGCCTTAGGCCACCAGTCCCCCACCCCACTCCTGCACCATCCACCCTAATTTACCAGTCATGAGGTTGGCCTTCAGGAGGGCATCCTTGATAAGGTCATAGGTCACCAGCTCAGCACAGTTGACAATGGCATTACGAGCAACGTTGGGAGAGGTCCCTACAACAGGGAGAACCTGCATGAGACCAGGGAA